TGAGGCCCTGGGAGCGCCGGCCCCCACCAGCTACGGGCCCAAGCCGTAGGTCGGACCACGCGGAGGCCAGGAGCGAGGTCCCCGCCGGTCGCCCCTAACTGCCCCGGACCCACTTACTGGCGGACCGGCTGCACCTCTGCTCCTCAGCGCGCAGCCACCCCCGCGCTACCGCCGCCGTCGCCATCAGGGCCAGCAGCCCGAGCAACAGCGACAGCCCCATCAGCTCCGGCATCTGCGGCAGCTCCATGTTGGCAGGGCCGCTGCCACCTCAGCCTCTGACGACGCCGGCGCCCGCACGTCTCCGCGAGGCCGCGCACGCACGCGGGGGCGGGGCGTGGCCGTTGGGGCGTCTCGAGGGGCGGGGCCTGGCTGTTAGCGCGCCTCGAGGGGCGGGGCCTGGCCGTTAGGGCACCTTGCGGGGCCGGGCCTGGTTGTTGAGGCTTTGTTGATGCGGGGGGCGGGGCTAGGGGTACGAGATCCGCAGGCTCTGCTCGCACCTCCCCTTGAAGAACTTACTGATAATCGTTTATTAAAGGCGTTTTCCCAGCCATCACACACAGGATTCCTTAAAGGAGGCGGGCGGGAGGGGCGGGGATTATTGCTCCCATTTAACGTGGGGAAGCGTGAGCATCAGTGGCATTCCGATGGGATTTTGCTGTTTCTGGAGAAGGGAAGAGTAGTCCAGGCACTGGAATGTGGGGCAGCCTCGCTTGGCAAAGACGGAGGGGCAGGGATGTTGAGGGGAGGCAGAGCATGAGCGCGATAAAAGGAAATGGCAGATAAGGTCGGAAAGGTCTGGGGGGCCTTGAGCACTGGCTCGATCCAGCGAGCTGGTTATTACAGGGCGCGATGGGGCAAAATCGGGGATCCTCTGCACGGACCACTGTGTGGAAAGACCAAAGACAGAAGTCCGGAAGTGGCTGCAAGGATCTGAGAGGGAGGCAATAATGGCCTGGCGAGTGGAAAGGAAGTTGAAAAGGAGATTTTTAAACAAAAAACTGATTTTGAAATAATTACAGATTCACAGGGGGTCGAAAGAAATGAACAGGGAGGTCCCGTGGGCCTTTCCACTCAGTTTCCCCCAATGTTAACATCTTTCATAGCTATAGTACAATTTCAAAAACTGGGAACTTGACATAGATACAAACTGCAGAACTTTATTCCGATTTCACCAAAAAGGAGCTATTCTAAAAGACGAATTGATAGAGTTTGGGTTAGACCTGCGTGGCTGAAGAGAGAACGTCCCCAGGACAGGCATGCTTCCATGGGCTTCCCAGGCCTGCAGCCCAGAGCAAGGGCAAGTACCTGGGTTGGAGATCCAGTCTCAAACATATCCATTCCCTTGGGGCAGCCTGCCTTTCCTGACAGTCCAGACCCTCCAGCCATTAAAAGGACCTTCAGAGGATAGCGGCTGCCTTAGAGGCTAGATGGCAGACATACCAGCAATCTAGAGGCTAGATGACAGACATACCAACAAACTTGGCTGAGGAAACAGATCCAGTCAGAGAGCAAATGAAGCAGCCTCATTTCCTTCCCTTTTGTCCTTTGCAGGGAACTGGCTTTGACTCAGCTGCGGGCAGTGGGTGGGGAGGGCTGCGAGGGGGTGTCCAGCATATCCTGTGGCTTTTCCTCCCTAACTCAGCTATTTAGAACTGTCGGCCCAGCCATAAAGCACTTTCTTCACCATCTAGAGACAAAGCTGTACTTTTAAGAAGAATTTCATTCACCAACCATTTTGCATGTGACATTTATTGATCCGGGAACTTTGCATTTCATTTAATCTTCTCACATTCCCATGCCACAGATTAAGAGACTGATGCTCTAGGAAGTTAAGTGACTTTCTCAAGGTTACACAGGAGGAGAATGAGCTTGGGGACAGATACAGTTCTGTCTAACTGCAATCTATAGATGTGGGGCAGGGGCGGCCACTCTTTGTACAGCTCAGCCTAGGCTACCAAATTCATTCACATCCTTGACTTCAGTTGATATTTTTAGTGGCCTTTAAGATAGGTCGTGTTATAAAATAACTTTAATTTTTATTTGCTTCATTTTATTTTTAAAATTTTTAATAATTTTAATGCTAATCTTCTCTGTATCGTTCCAATTTTAGTGTACATGCTGCCGAAGCATGCACAACTTTAGTTTTTAAACATATGGGAAAAAAGACTGGGCTCATGTCAAGTAACTTGCCCCAAATCAATAAGGAAGCAAGGGAAAGAGCCCAGAGTCAAACCCAGGTCTACTGCACTCGAAGATCCATGCTTCTCTGGCCAAGCCACCCTGGCTGTGGTACATCCTCGCCCTTACCCTCAAGTGTTGTGGAGCCCAGTTGGAAGCCAAGACCAATATGTGGAAGGACAACTAATGACACAAAGGGGGATTCAGGAAAGCTGGGTGTATTAGGGAGGGGGATTTGCCAATGGATCTCCAGGGGCAGTGAGACTTGGCTGTAGCTTCAGGGGTGGGCATTTAGACAGGTAGAGCAGAGGGCGGAAGGGAATTCTAGATGGGAAGCCAGAACAAGTCAAGGTGTGGGGGCAGATGTAACTGATTCCTGTGCAGGACAGAGTGACTGACTAGGCCAGCCCGTCTGAGTGAGTGCACACGTGGTGCCTGCGGGAAAGGATGTGGATGCAGCAGGGAAATGGGATGCAGAGGAAGATGGGAAAACCCAGACCTGCCTTCCTGGTGGGTTGACTATGTCTGCAAGGGCAGAGCGGAATGCTGCATCCCAGGAACCACTGGAGATTCAGGACCCCTTGGAATGTGAGGGGAGGGAGGCCGTACAAAGTAACAAGACTGGAGGGATAGATTTCAGGGTCCAGTCACAAAGCACCATGAACTTCTGCAGCAAAGTCTGTCCTCATCAGAGGCCAGCTTGCACTGTCTGCAGCCCTCCCTGCCTGTGGCCTATGCTAGGTGACATGGTTTCTTTCATCCTCATTGAAGCAGTGGTCCCTGTGCCAGCAACATGAAGAATACAAATTCTCAGATTCCATCCCAGACCACACTACTAGCGTGGAGGTGGGGCCCAGTCATTTGGGTTTTTACAAGCCCTCTAGTTAATTCTGATGTACTCTAAAGGTTACAAACCACTGGGTTAAACTAATGGAGCCCCAGATGTATGTTATTTGCAGCTCAAAGTCGCTGTTACAATGGTTCTTAACCGTAGCTGCAGATTGGAATCCCCTTAAAAAATGCTGATGTCTAGACGTCACACCCAGAGATGGATTCTGATTTAAGTTGTCCAGACTGACCTGGTCAAGAAGGTTTTTAAAGTCCCCCACCCCAAGTTATTCAAATGCACATTTAAGTTTGAGGAGCAGCTGTAAGGCATACAGGAGGCACAAGTATATGTAAAAGGTGGTGTTCTACTAGACCAGGGTGGTGGCTGTGGAGGTAGATGCTCAGGTCATGGCCAGGCCTTGGTGGTGACAGCACAGATAGTGGGGAGGAGCTGAAGATGGTGGTTTCCAGCTTGCACAAGTGTCTGGGTGGTAGCGTCCTTCCTGGGGTTGGGAGCACAGAGAGGACCAGGTTTGAGTGGGAAGATCGTGGCAATGACCAGCTCTGTATTGGCTACATCAAGGTTAAGGCAGCTGCGGAATATTCAGAGGGAGAAGTCAAGGTGGCTGTCAGATGTGTGGTTCTGTAGCTCTGGGGAGATGCAGAGTAGGGGCTCCTCAGCAGAGCCTGGGGCTTGCCATAGAGCGAGAAGGACAGTTGCTGAGGAAGGGACAGGCAGAGGAAGAGGCTCCCACAGCAGGAACTGGGAAGGCACTGCTGGGGAGAAGGAAGGGATGCCTGGTGAGAATTCTGGATTCCTAGGGAAAGAGTGGTTCAAGGAGGCCCCAGGTCACTGGGGAAGCCAAAAGAGCACTGCAAAGCGGACACTGGATTTTGCAAGGAGGAAGTCAGGCAGAGGGGAGTGCAGTGAGAGCAGAGTCAGTGCAGGGGTGAAGCTGGAGTGCAAGAGAGGAGGAGGAGGAGCCCAAATGCAGGGGCATGAGGGGTCAGAGGAAGGGGAGGAGGGAGAATGAGCAAGTGTCAACGACTCTTTCCAGGCAGGAAGTCTTCTGGAAGGGGTCACAGGGTCAAGGGGATGTCTTACAGAGAACTTTCTGGTAGCATGAGAGTGGGTGAAAACAGCAGAGCACACACTGCCGGGACTGTCCCTGTCAGAGAGCCACTTCAGGCCTGTCTGCGGCAGCAAACAGCACGGAAGGCTGGGTGCACTTGCCACCTCCGCAGCACAGAGGTGGCCAAAAGCAGAGTCAGACAGGCTGGTGGGCACCTCTGAGCCACTCGCTGACCTTGCAAGTTCGGGCAAGGGACTGAGCCTCTCTTCGCCTCAGTTTTTCATCTGTAAAATGGTGATGAAAATAATGAATGATGATAATAATTATTATAGCTTGTATTACATATATAATTTGTTAACTTGATAAATGAAAGGATGAATGAAATACTGGGGCCTTTGAAGCCTTCTACTCCAATTCCCACCTGAAGTATCAGTTCCTTCTAAGACAGCCCAACCAAGTGGCTGTCCACTCTCTGTTTGCACACTCCACAGGGCGGGGAGCTGACTACCCCCCAAGGGAGTCTCCTTCTGGATGGTTCCAGTACATGGCCCTGTCACTTCCACTCCTTGGTCTCAGCTCTGCCTTCTTCCAACTCTGAAAGGGGTGAGCCTCTCTGAACCTTCTCCTGGCCTCGCAGGGAGGATCTCCAGGAAGCATGTCTGTTAGCTCTCGCCTGAATGAGAACAGCAGCCCCCAACTGGTCTCTCTGCTTCCGCCTAATCTCAGCTCAGCACCCAGGGGGATCCTGTGAAGTTCCATCTGATCTTGTCCCTTTTCCACTTACAACCCTCCAGCGGCTTCCAGCTCAGAGAAAAAGCTCAGGCCCTTTGGTGGTGCACAAGGCCCTCTACAAAACCACCTCCCGCTGCCAACAGGCTTTCTCCCTAACCCAACAGATTGACAGTCACACCGACACACCGGCAGACAGTTTCTGCTTTTATTTGTCAAGAATCCTTTACAAAATACACACACACACATGTCCACACACACACAAGATGCCTGCCCTGCTCTGGCCACCCCTGCCCTAGTCTCTCCCGTGATCAGACCTTCCTGGCCTCACCCAGCGGAAGCCATCCTGCAGCCCCTCTGGGTCACCAGTGAAGGAGCAAAGAGAGGGAACCTCCTTTTCTGCTTCTCTGCTCAAGAACAAAGGCCTGTGTCCCACCCGTGGGGGAGCAGGTTGGGGTGGCAGGGAAACAGATCCTCTTCCCTCCTTCAAGCTGTCTGAATTGCTAGCTCAGGCCCCCAATGTCACAGTTGCTACGGCCTCGGGTCATCTGCTGGTTGAATCTTGCCCATCCCCATTTTGCGGATTGGAAAACAGAGGTCCAAAGAGTGGTTATGAGTCACCCAGGGACACAGTGGTAGAGCAGGAATGGGAACTCAGCTCTTCTCAGCCTCCAGGAGGTGGGAAGCATGAGACGTGGACCCTGAGACCCTCGGGAAGGGGACTGCCAGGCCCAGGGTGGGAGAGGAGTGCCCAGAAGTTATCCCTGGAGCCCATGCCCAGGGAAGGCAGCCCCAGGGCAGCTGAGTGAGCAGCAGGCTCTGGCCAGGACTACAGAGGTTTGCCAAGGGTCCCCTCTGTGACTGCCCGCGTGGCTTGCTCAGGGACGCGGCCTGGTTCAGTCAGGATGCTAGTAGATGTGCTCAGCTGGCGGAGGGAGTTCAGGACAGCTGGGGGAGAGAGAGAGAAACTCCTGGGGTCAGGGTTCTACCCTTGAGTGCTGAAGTCAAAGCAATGGGGAGAGATACCAGTTGGCAAGACCGTCAGCCCCTCCCAAGGTCTCTGTCTACAGGTGTCCCGGTGGTCCGTCCAGGGGACGTGGTGGGGTGGCCAAAACCCTAGGCTGTGTTGAAAGCAGGCTGGACCTGGGGTCTGAGCAGGGCAGAACTCCCCGATCTAAGGCTGGGACACTCTGGTGGGCAGACAGATGGCTCACGTACTTGGCCGGAGAGCAGGCAGGGAGCAGTACTGGTCCAGCCAGGCCAGCGAGGTCTGGCGGAGGCTGTGCAGGCTTGCCGTGGACACCATGCCATTGAAGGACTCGAACAGAGGCCGGATGAGGACACTGAACTGGGCCCAGGTCAAGGAGCAGGCCCGTTATCCAGGCAGTACCCCACCACCTCACATGTAGCCTTGATGCCCAACCCAAACCAGGGGAAGGAGGGGCCTGGACACTGTCTAACCTTGACCACCGAGGACTGCAGTCCCTCCTCCCATCCTGCCGAGGCCTGCCCAGCTCTCCGGCTCTCAGCCCCCTCCTCCTGGTTCCTTCGCGGCACTTCTGTGCTGGGCTGTCTCCTGTCCTTGGGCTCCCTGCCCCTGCTCAGTCAGGAGCTTGACCCCCAAGCCAGGCAAGGGAGTGGGCACCACGTCTTCTCTGGGCCTCGTACCAAACTGTCTTTGGGCTAGGTTCTCCCAAAATTGCCTCTGGGCTCCCTGAGGTCAGTGCTGTGGCTCCCCTTACCCAATGTCTCCTCCCTCGCTTTTCTCTCTGCTCCCAGCCCATCACTGGGCAATCCTGCCGGCCCAGATGCCAAGGGCCTGGAAGCAGGGGACAGAGCCAGAGCCCGAGCCCCTTCCCTGGGGCAGCTCTGAGCCCACCTGACCCGCGGAGCTGAGCCTAAATCTCGGGTGCAGCCTGGGCTGGCCGCAGCGTTCACCCGCCGCGGACCCTGCTGTCCCCAGCCACTGGTCTGAGCGAGGATACTACCCAGAACTTCCAGTTGTGCAGCGTCCGGGTTCGGACATAGTCATCAAACATGTCTCGCATCTGGTCGAAACGCTGGTGTGTGATGGGCACCCCTGTAGCAGGCAGCTGCTGCTGGCACAGGCTGGGGGTGTGGGAGGGTCAGGGTTGGGAGTCAGATGGCATGTCCCCCTAGCCCCAGCCCATACCCTGCCTACTTAATGGCAGCGTTGAGCTCTTCGATCTCTTCCCGCAGCTGCTGGGCCTCCTCCTGCATGGCCGCCCGCTCCTGTTGCAGCATGACAATGTACTCTGCTGTCTTCTGCAGCGTGGTGGCTTTGCTCACCTGTGGGTGCCGCCAGTGTGGGCTCAGGCGCTGGAGGCCGCCCCACCCTGGAACCCACTGGGGTGGGAGGAGGCAAGGGTGTCTGGAGGGCTCTAGGGTTTGGTCTTGGGTAGGGGGCCCAGGAAGGGGCCCCACGATTCTGAGGGTGCTAGCCTGGGCTGGGGGCTCACCTTGAGGCTGGGCTGGGCGCTGAGTGTGCTCACAAGCCCGTGAAGGGTGTCAAAGCCCAGCTTGATATTGAAGCGCCGCTTCTGCTCCGCGGAGATGTGTGTGATGCGCCTGTTCTCAGTCTTGGTGAGCAGACAGTGGAGTAAGCCTAGGAAGGAGCCCGGGAGGGCCTGGGGGTAGCAACCTGATCTTGGGGTGGGGGCACGGTGCCCACCTTGTTGTTGTCTGCACGGCCCCGGCTTAGGATGGGTTGAGGTGGCGAGACACGGACACTCAGAGCCCCTGGACTTGGCATGGAGTTGAGCTCCCCTGACAGCCGCCGCTCGCTGCCTGCGGCCGGGACAGACAGACCCACAGACAGACCGACACAGGGGAGAGGGTCCCATTGCCCTGCTCCTCTCATCTTGGCCCCGGATGCAGTGCCCCCTTCTTCCTGCTTCTCCCTGCATCCCCTGGACTCCCCCAGTCCCTGCAGCCCCTCTTTACCACTGGGTGCTGGGGGCGAGAGCCGCTCTGCCTTGGGGACAATCAGAGGCCTGGATGGGGCCAGTGTGGCTGGTCCCGGAGGTGGCCGGGGTGGTGTAGGGGCTGGGGTTGGAGGAAAGAAGGTGCAGGGGAATTCGGGGACCGTCTCCTGCTGGGGTGGAGAAGGGCAGAGAGTTGGGGTGAAGCCCCTGGGCACACCCCCACCTCCCAGCGCCTGCCATCTTACCGGGGAAGCTGGGGGCTGGAGGAGGGCGTTGGACACGAGTGGTGGTTCCAGGGCTTGCTCGGGCTTGGCTGTGCACAGGCAGAACTGTGAGGGCTGCTGGGGCTGGCCCCCCAACATCTCTCAAGACCCCATCCCGCCCCTCCCAACAGCCATGTCCCTTTCAGGTACAGGGCCCGCGTCCCTAATTCCTCTGTCCCCCAGGCTGAGCCTGTCTCTTCACACCCACCCTCTGCTCCCATGGGCCCCCCACTTCCGTGGGTGGTCCCTACCTCCCCCTCTGCTGACACGGTCCCTCCTATCTCACCTGCTGTGAGCAGCTGTGTGAGGCAGGGGTTGCTGCCCCCAGCAGTGGCAGTGGGGCTGGCCGTGGCAGGGGACAAGGTAGGGGGGTTGGCTTTCCGTCCTCTAGGGGACGGGGCCAGGGGCTTGCCTCTGGGCCACGTGCCCTGACGCATGGAGAAGCAAGGCCCAAAAGGGGGCTCTGGACAGCTTGAAGCCAGAAGGTTTATGGGGAAGGGAGTGACAGGGCCTGGGATGGGCTGTGGGGTGGGTGGGAAGGCTGCAGGAACAGGCAGTGGTGACACTCCTGGGCCAGGAGGGACAGTGGGGAAGGGAAACCTGGGAGAGAAGAGAGGGTCTTCCTGTAGCACAGTGGGGGGTGGAGCCATGGGAGGGAAGGGGGGTGGAGGGCAAGGCTCCAGGCCCGGCACCTTGGCAGGGGGAGGATATTGGAGGAGAGGAGGGGGTGCCAGAGGGGGTGGGAGCTTGGGCTTGGGGTCTTCAGGAAGGAGGAAATCAGAGCTCAGGAAGGCACTGGAGTCCAAGGGGCCAGGGCTGCTGTTCTGAACCTGATCAGGAGGTACAGAGAGACACTCAGAGGCAAGGGAGAGAGCTGGCCCCTGCAGCCCCCCAAGCAGCCTCCTGCCCCTGCTGAGCTCTGGACTGGGCCCTGGGGAGAGACAGGACAACCAATCCCTGCCTTCTAACACCACCCCCGACCCCCACATACACACACAGCAGGGAAATTTAATCTGCTGAGAGAGGGAGTGGAATAATACATTTATGCACAAGTTAGGTGTGACAAAGAGCATCAGTCTTCCTGCCCATCCACTCGTCCACCAAGTAACTTATCCATCCCTCCACTAATTCGTCCATCAGTCTCTCCATCCATCCATCCATCCTCCATCCATTCACCTATCTATTCTCTCATTTCTGAGCTAGCACATCCACCTATCTCTCCACCAGCCCACGAGGTATGACCCATTCACCAATCCATCCAACCACCCACACTTCCTTCATACATCCACCAACCCATCCACAATCCATCCATCCATCCACCATCTGTGCATTCACCAGCCGCTTACCCATCCACCACCCTAACCCTAGCCCTAACCCTAACCCTAACCCAGCCCATTCATCCATCCATCACACTATTTATCTACGCATCCACGTACCAGCCCATCCATCCAACCACCCACCTACCTACCCATATATTCACCAGCCCACGTCTGCATCCGTGCCATCTACAACACACCTGTCCATTCACCAACACACCCATCGGTCCACACGCTCACTCGTTCATTCGCTCACTGGACAGCCGTTTGCTGATGCTGAACTGTGCTAGGTCCAGATGACGCAGAGGTGAGCGAAATACTGCCCCTGCAGCAGGGAGCTCACTGTTGGTGGAGGAGAGAGACCCTTCCACAACCATCTATAAAAGCACCTGAAAAGTCTGGTGATGAAGGGAAGAGGCATATAACCCAGCAGCAGAGAGGCAACGTCTAAGCTGGGCCTGGGAGTTCTTAAGCCAAATAAATGGTAGATTCACTGCTTCCTAGACATACATGCTCAGCCTTCTCCTCCATGCTTTGGTTCCTGTTCTTCCTCCCATCTGGCATGCCCTTGACTAGTCTCTTCTAGTCCAAAGCCCACCCATTCACTAAGGCCCAGAATTCCCCCTCCTCCAGGAAGCCCTCCACAAGCAACCCAGCCCTTGGTGGCGCCCGCTCCGTGGTCCTCATGCCTTCAGCCCCATTCAACCATTTCGTCCAGTTCTGTTTCATGGGGTCACCCCTCTTCGGCAAGATTGTGCCCCCCAGCCCGCGAAGGGCAGACATGGGGCCATTCTTCCCCTCCAGTCTGTCAAGCACAAGACTGGGCACCTGCTGGGCACGGGTGCGGCCAGGGCCTGCTCTCAGGTGCGCCGGGCAGGGCTGGGCAGGTGGGTGAGCTCACCTGCAGGCGGCCATGTCCTGAGAGGTGGGTCATGCCCGAGGAGGCCGGGGGCACCTCTTGGCTCAGGATCCCACTGCTAAAGAGGGAATCGGCCATGGGGCTAAAGCTGGGGGGTTCCGGGAAGTTTGAAGGCGTGGGCGTCTGTTGGGGGCGGTAGTTGGTGAAGAAATCTGTAATTCAGACACACGGGGCGGCAGCAGTTAGGGCCCAGGCTGTGGCTGGCAGACAGCTGGAGGAGAGTGGCCTCGAGCCCTGTCCCCAGCCTGGGCGGGGGTGGGGGGGCTTCCACAGGAGATTGTGAAACTGGGAGAGTTTCTGTCTCACTCAGGGGAAGCGGCAGCAGAGGCTTGGGTGGGATGGGCCTGAGTGGGAGGCAGTAGGGGACGATGGGGGTGAGTAGGGACCCTTGGCCCCAGCCCCCCTCAGGAGGCAGCCCCCGCTCCCCCATCCGCAGGCTGCTCCCCTTCCTGCTCTGCTGGAGGCACAGAAAGGGGGGCCATAGCGGGTGCCATGGCGGGAAAGGGGTGCGGTGCCAGGGAGGAGGTCTGGGGCAGGAGGAGCTCCAGGGTGGCAGGAGTTCAGGGGTGACTTAGAGGTGAGGGGGCCAGGGGTCAGCGGGTCAGGGACCAGTTAGGTTTGTCAGAAGGCCTACAGGTGAGCGACAAGGGCAGAGCCCACAAGTGGTAAAGGGTCTAATGAGGCGAGAGGAGCCGAGGGTGAGCTCAGAGAGGGGCAGGAGCGTGAGGGGCTGGGACGCCTGCAAGAGCCGGGGGAGGTGGCCGCCGGATTGTTTGGGGTGCGGGTTGTGTAAGCCTTGGGCTATTCTGGTTTTGGGAAGCAGCTGCCTGTGGCCTGACCACATCCCGGGCCTGGGCGCCGCCCGCCCACCCGCTCCCTTCCGGGCACCTTTCTCTGACCCTGACCAGCCTGAGGTCCACCCCAGCTCCCAAAGCCTCCCAGTCTGGTCGGACTCGACCCCACTGTGGCAGCTCCCCACCACCTTGGGATGGGCCCTGCCCCCACTCTGTACTTCCACGACCCCCCCCTCACTTGCCAACAGAGCTGGCCAGCGTCTCCCAGGAGACCAGGAGTGGGTTAGATAAGACCACCCCAAACCCAGAACCTTCTGGGGGTCAAACTTGTGCATGTGTGTGTGTCTTAAGTGACACTGTTTTGCCAGAAGATGTGGGGCCAGTGTGTGGGAGTAGCTGGACTCACAAGTGTCAGTGTATAGCATCTGTCTGTCCCCACAGTGTCTGTTCCCACGTTTGTCCCTCCGTCTGAGTCCTTGTGAACCTGCCCTGCCATGATGCTCTGCGCCCACATCTGTGTGTCTTTCCTGGGCCGCATGGTTAGAAGGTGTCTTCTTGCTGTCCTGCTGCCTCCCTTTGACAGGGGAACTGGGCAGGAGACAGTGAGTGTCACTGGTCCTCTGTCCACCCCCCAGGCACCATGGGCCCCATTGCTAGCCGCTGAGGCCTGGGGTCTAGAACCAGCCTCACACTGGGCCTGGCCCCAGGGTGGCCCCACGAGGCTGAGGGCCCCGAGCCGCTCCCTGCTCACGCCTGCTGCCCAGTCCCCAGGGCTTGGGCAGGGGTCATGGGGCAGCAAGCCCATCTCATCCCTGAGTCACTGCCATCCCCTTCCCAAGGAGGGCCCAGGCTTGTCCCCACCCTGCCTTGAGAGAAGTCGCTTCCCAGCTGTAGCCACCCTCTGAGCCTGGAGTCCCTCTCTAGCCTCTGTTTCCCCCAGGGACCTGACTTGCCATCACTTCCCCAGGCCCTGGTCTCCACAGAGCTCTGGCCCCCTCTCTGGGTTTCCAGCCTGCTTCTCCAGTGGGGCTCTTGGGGACGGTGAGACAGCAACCCTGGGGGCACTGGTGCTGGCTGTCCCCCGGTGCAGGAGCGTCTGAGAGGGCCACAGGAGCCACCTCCTCTGCAAGGCCACACTTGCCCCTCACCCCCAGCAGCTACCCTGGCTTGTGAGAAGTCTCTTCCTAGCCCCAGTCCATGCTGGCCTTGCCCAGAGCCTGGGTAGGAGTGGTTGCCCTCCTACCTGTGGCAGGGGTCTGTGTGTCCAGACAGGGCCGCCGCCCTCCCAGGCTTCTCTGCTCCCAGGGCACTGCCATCCACACTTCTGCCCCTGGCACCCACCCCCCCCCAGGGCTGGGGCAGGGGTGGGGGTGGTTCCTCATTCCCTAGTGCCCGCCCCATAGGCCTCCACCTCTTGATTGACAGGCCCAGGACCCTGTGGAATGGAGTCGGGGGCTCACTGAAACTAAGCCTTTATCCCAGGGACCCTCCTCCTGTCCCCTGTGCCTTGGGTGAGACAGGCTGAGCCCTGCTGTCTGCCTGCCCCCCACATGGCTCTGGAGGCCCCTAAACGTATGACGATCAGAGCAGCCTGCAAGACCTACAGCCAAGTGAAGAAGACAACGTGGGGCAGAGTCTGTTGTGAAAACAGAGACATCTGTCCACCTGTGCTTCTACGGACACGACTATCTCTGGAAGGACACTAAGAAATCAGTAACTTGGTGGCCCTGGGGTCAGGAGAGGGAGGCAGGGAAATTTGCTACATTAAAAAAATGCTTTACAAGATATGATACCTGGCATTTTTCTTAGAAATGACATGGGAGAGAAGAGGCATGGTCCAGATGAAACAAGACTGGCAGAGGTGGTAAGTCGATGTCATCGGTGATAGTTACATGGGGCTTCACTGAACTAGTCTCTACTAGTGTGTATGTTTGCAGTGTTCTTTAATAAATCGTTTTTAAATGCATCATGTAGATAATAAATAGACCCAACCAAATCAAAGTCCCTTTCTCTCCTGAGAGTCTCAGCATCTGCTATTTTTCCTGGGAGCCCCTTTAGCCTGCAGCTTCACAGCCCCTGGTCCCCTGCCTGCATCTGAGACCACACCAGCCACACCCCAAGGCTGGACAAAGGGAGGCCAGGAAGATCTCTCTGAAACCACCCAGACCATCTTCCCTCCTGGAGGGGCCTGGGACGGCCACACAGTCCTCCCAAGGCCTTCCCCACACTGACCCTGCCCATCCACTCCACTGGGAGGAGGGAGGGACCTGCCCCACCTGAGATCTCCATGCAGTCATCCAGGCTGGGCTGCAGAGGCGTCAGGTCCGGCTGGATCATGTCAGCATTGCCGACATAGGCTGGAGGAGACAGTGATGACGTCATGAGAAGTGGGCAGGGTGGAGTGGGGGGCCCCAGTCAGTTCTCCCTTGGCAGCCTAGATTCTCACAGGCCTGACCCCTCTCCCCGACCCCTCCCTGGATGCAGGCCCTCACCATCCTCGGGGGACAGCTGCAGGGGAGAAGGGCTGGGCTGAGTCATGGTAAAGAGTGTGTCGGAGATGTCCGACAAAAAGCAGTCGAGGTCCAGGAGCTGCCGCCCGCCGGGCTCCTCCTCTGGGCCCCCCAGCAGCACCGGCACCACGCTGGAGAAGAGCTGCTCGCACCATCTCTCCGGCGGTGGCCACCTGCCTTCCGCCTAGGGGGACAGAGCGGTCAGCAGCCCCTGGAGGACTCTCACTACCCCCAGCCCCTCATCACCCCTGCCCGGGAGAAAATGGTCAGCCAGCTGGCCAGGAGGCTCTCTGCTCATCCTCCTCACCTTCCCCTGGTGGCCCCGGCTTGTTGCAGACCAGGATGGCTTGCTGAAGAGACAGGGCTCCCTTCCTGCCCTCTGACTCTGTCCTGTCTGGGACCCCAGTTCTTAGGTCCCTTTTCTCCCCCATGGTCCCACCCCTTGCTCAGCAGCCTGGGGTCCTCCCAGTACTGCGCCCTCCCAAGGGGAGACAGGCTCGACTCATCAACCAGAGGATGGCAATCACTCCCACTCCCCAAACATGCCCCCTTCATCCCCAGCCACCGTCCTGCCCACCCAGGCGGAAGCTGTCAGTTCTCTGCATCCCACATGCTTAGGGGCCAGGGGATTTCTTCCCTGCTGCACTCAGGGAACACCCACCTGCTTAGGTGCCGGGAGATCCCCTTCCCTGCTGGACTTACGGAGCTGCAGGGACACACAGAGTTGGACACGGGATCCCTTGCCCCTACCTCCATCACTCCCCGCCAAAGCCTCCCCTACTCACAAGCTCCCCCAGCAGTGGGATCCCCTATTTCGCCTCGGGAGGTACCCCCACCCAGGTAAGGAGACTGCTAGGAGACCCTGTGGCCACACGGTGGCACTGTCGGCCGGGACTTAGTGGAGGGCCCAAGGGGTGCTGGCTGTGGGGCGGGCGTGTCCCTTCCAGGGATCTCCCAAGACAGACGGTGGCAGGGGCCTCCTCTGGACCCCACGGACCCGCTTCTTGTAGTAGATGCGCCACTTGTGGTACTCGCGCATCACCACCTCGATGCGCCGCTTCCAGTAGTTCCCCTCTAGGACGACGGCCTGGGGAGGGTCGAGGGAGAAGACTCAGTGGGAAGGGCAGACCCGGCACCCCCATTTCCCACCTTCACCCAGTCCCGCCTGGGCCGGCCCCCAAGCCCAGCGCGGGAGGGACGGGAGGGAGGGGCCGGGCTGGGCGGGAGGTCCAGGGCCGCAGCTACCTCTGGTTTCCTGTGCGCGTCAGCCTCCGGCCCCTGCAGGGGGGTCACGAAGCCACACACGGGGCTCTTCCTCCGCTCCACATCTGCCAGAAGCAGGCCAGGTCAGGGGCGCCCAGGTGACACCCTGTGAAATCCTGCCTGGCCTTGGACGTTCAGATTAAGCATCGTCTGCTGCCTCCTCCAGGAAGCCTTCCTGCCTGCTCTAGCCCTCGGAGATGTATGTGGCACTGTGAAAGAACCCACACCTCCTCTGCCTCCCGCGAGGGAGGTAGGTGGGGCCGCGCTTGCTGAATGGGCTGTGAGGCCACAGGCCACAGGCAGTGAGGTCCTTCAGGGAGACCCTGTTCAGACCGGCAGGCCAGGGTCTAGAGCCCTGGGCCCCCTGCCGCAGGCTCCTTGGCACTACCCACTCTCATCTCAGAGAAGCGCCCCGGTCTACTTCCGGCTACTACCTGCCTGAGCTTTCTGCCACGCCCTCCACTCCCCGCTCAGTCTCCAGTCCTGGCCACTCCCCAGGCCCCTTCCCTTTGGCCCATAAACACATTCCAGGCTCTTCTTTATCTCCCAAGCCTTTCCTTCCCCTTGTTGGGTTAGCTACTCGACAAGCTAACCTCTACCCCTTGGCACCCCTTCCCTCCCCCTCAGCCCGATTTTGGAAGAGTTGTCACTTGCCACCTCTGCTGTCATACCTCCCATCTCATCTTCACCCTCTGAGACTCAGTGTCTGCCCCCTTGCCCGCCCCACTGACCCGCTCCTGAACCGTGGGCCCTGTCCCAGCCTCCCTGACCTCCTCCCCACTCCCCTCCCCAAGCCCCAGGAACATTCCCTGCTCTTCTGTCTCGCTGATCACTTTTCACCGACTCCTTTGCAATGCCCACCCCCGGCCTCTCTCACCCTGCCGCTTCCAGCTCCAGCCCATAGCCAGCTGCCTGGGGACCCTCCACTAGGATGTCCCAAAACCTACCACAAAACCCCCACTGGCTCCCGGCATTCCTGGTCTAATCTAATCGTCACATTCCCAGTCTCAATTCCACAGGATCTGTGACGTTTCTTCCACCACCCCCGCCCCTCCATCCTCTCTCTCCCTGCGTCACCCCCTAGTCTGGCGGCATTTCGCACAGGGACCTCCAGCCTCATGCTCCCTAGTCTGTCTTCCTGCTGCAGCCAGGTCAGTTCTTCCTAAAGTGCAGTTCAGGCCTGAAACCCTCCATGGCTCCCAACAACCTCCAGGATAAAGTTCACACTCTTTAGCTTGGCTTCCAACCCCCTCCACGACTTAGCCACCCTTGCTTCTCCCACCTCCACGTGGCCCACCTTGAAGCCAGACAGCCCACCTTCTGGTCTTATTCCCTTGCCCTTCCCTCCTCTCCCTACCCTTCGGGATGGCCCCACCTCCAGGCAGCCTTCCCACCCCCAAAACCCTATGGCCCCATGCACCTCCTCCTCCGCCCTCTCTGGTCATCTCTCTGCATGCTCGCCTCCCCACGGGACGTGAAGCGGGAGCTGCGCTGGCGCCGATCTTGGCACATAGCAGGCCTCCGTAAGAGGCAACCCTAAGATTCCTCTTGGCCACCCTGACAAAGTGGGCAATCACTGGCCCATCCAACTTCCTCTGGTGCAAATGAGGACACAGAGGAGGGGGACCACCAGAGCATGACATTTATTGGGACTTTCAGCATCACTTACAAAGTTCTGTCCTAAAGAACATTCTCCCAGACAGGAGGGTTTTTGTCTTGCTTGCTGAGCCTGGCTTGGACAGAAAACAAGGGGACGGGCCCATGGCTGTGTAGACTCCCAGGGGCCTAGGTAAGCAAGGAGGGTCTCAAAGAGTATCTCTGCCCCTGGCTTCCCAGGTGATAGAATGGAATGGGCACCATGATGAAGTTTGTCCAGGGCCCCCAGAGAGTCAGGGCTGAGTGACACAGCCTGGCTTTCCTCCCCAGCCCAGTGCTCTGGACAGCAGGGCTGTGACAATGTGGCTTCCTGGGGTAGGCTTTGTTTAACACTGATAAGTTTGTCTGTCCATTCAACAGAGCGTCCAACCCTTTGGACAGGGAATACACGGATGAATCAGGGTGCTTACAGCTTCAAGGAGAGATGAGAACAGCAAACAAACAACAGAGATAATGCAAAGTGGAAAGTCCTTCTTGCCCAGGAGAGGTGCAAAGTACCCGGGGACCTCAGAGGAAACCAAGGCGATTTTGGAGTGTGGGACAGTGAGAAGTGGGTTGGGAAAGGAAGGATCTCAGAGACCAAGAGCCTGCAGAGGGATGGCAGGGCCCTTCCTGGTTGAGCCTAAGGCAAAACACTTTTCGAGAGGGGGTGAGCCAGGCAGCCCTCCCTCCCCCTTGAAGCCCACCTTCAAACCTTTGGTGTTTAGGAAGGAGAGGTCCTGACATTTGTTATATGCCAGCCACATGCTGCTGCTACTATCAACATAATAATCCATCCAGCTGCTCACTCTCGGGGGCCCCTCTGTGCGCCAGGCTCTGTGCTAAGACCTGGGTGATGTCTCTGAAAGCTCACAGCAAGCCTCGGCAATAGGACCTATCATTATTCCCATTTTACAGATGAGCAAGCTTTGGCTCCTAGAGGCTAGAGACTTTCCTAAGGCCACATAACTGGGGAGTGCCAGGGCTTGCCTCAAACCCAGCTCTGTCTGACTCAGAACCTGGGGTCCTTCCAGCAACTTGTGCAATAGCTGAGATCAGTGTGTCGCAGTGAGGACCCCGAGGGGCATCAAGCCTCAGCCGTGATCAGAAATTTCTTCTGCAGAGTGCAGGGTTTGCAAGTGGAAGGGTCCCATCCAGCTTTGGGAGGAAGGTGCAAGTGTGAAATCTTGGGGTAGGGGGGACACTGTCTTCCCCTGGAGTATCAGCTTCCTAGTTTTTGGCCAGGGCCTGTCATGCAAGTTCTCAGAAACAGCAGATTCTGAATGGCATACTTGTCGGGGGAAAAAAAAAGAAAAGAAATGGCAGAGACCCAGAGAAGGCATCAAAAAACATGTACCTTCCACTTCCCTGAAAAGCTCAGCCACTGCCCTGGGTGACCTGCATGTTGTCAAGAGAGGACGGGAAGCCAGCCAGCTGGGAGCAGGGAAGAGCACCAGAGGGCGACAGCCCCAGACTCCAGCCAGCCCCAGCTCTGCTCCCTTTTATGCTCTGTGAACCTGAACATGTCACTCGCCTTCTGAGCCTCAGTTGCTAATCCATAAAATGGGGGCAATAATACTTATCTCCCAGGGCTGCTAGGAGCCTTAAATAAGATGATTTATGAAAGCGCCTGGCACGTAGATGAATGGAAACCAGAAAACACTCCCTCTGTTTACTTGGACAGAAGCCAGCGGGACCAGTACAGAGCCTACTGTGTGTGGTCCCTCCTGGGCTGTGTGTTCCCAGCTCAGCACAGCCTTTTTTTTTTTTTTTTTAATTTTTGAGACAGGGTCTTGCTCTGTCACCCAGTGCAGTGGCGCAATCATAGATCACTGCAGCCTCTAACTCCTGGGCTCAAGCAATCCTCCTGCTTCAGCCTCCCAAGTAGGTGGGACTATAGGCACACACTACCATGCCTGGCTAATTGCTTTTATATTTGGTAGAGATGGAGTCTTGTTATGTTGCCTAGACTGGTCTTGAACTCCTGGCCTCAAGCAATCCTCCTGCCTCGGCCTCCCAAATTGCTAGGATTACAGGCGTGAGCCTCCATGCCTGGCCCAGGACAGCCTTAGATCCTGTAGCAGGACCTAACTGAGCTGGACAAGGTCCCGACAAAGGGCTGACTGATCCAAGTCCTCCCAGCCTCTACTTCCCTGCCATGGGGTATGGGGGACGGGGCACAGGGGTGTCCCTGAATGACTGTGACCTCCTCCAGGGTCCATCATTTACTGAACACCAGTTTAGTGCCAGGCCCTTTCATACCTGTTGTCTCCATACCAACCATGAAAAGTAGGACTATTGGCCTCATTTTATAGATAAGGAAACAGGTTCAGAGAGCTTAGGGAACTAGCCTGAAGTCACACAGCCAGGAAGGGGCAGAGACAGGGTGGGAAACCAGTTCTGGGTGACTTAAGTCTAAAGTCCCCTCCACTATACCACATGGCCTCCCTGGGCCCCCTCTACCCAATTCTCCACGGTGGGCACCTGTTCGGTGTTCAGGGAGGACTTCACTGAAAGGCTGGTGGAGACTCATGTAGGATCCTCAGTCTCCCCGTTTACAAAATGATGCAGCTGGCCCAGAGAGTGTCTCATACCCCCTTTTACCCTGGCATTCGAGGCATCTGGCTACACAAATGGGATGCAGAATGGGCTTTAAACTGTCCCCCAAATCTCAGCCTACCTTAGTGCTTCTCAGGGTGACCTCTGCTTTGCCTAGTGGAAACACTGCTCTGTGTTCACAGGGGAAAACACCCTTTGGGACACATTCCCCAAGACCCTCTGGGGATCAGAAGCTGTTCAGGGGTCCCGGTGTGGGGGTCTGGTCTCCCCAGGAGGCTGGCAGCACTCTGCTGGTGCTGGCCCTGAGGGTCCCAGGGGTTTTCCTGGGCAGCCCCCTTGTGGGGCCCTCTGGCGGGGCAGGGAAGGCCCCTCCTGGCTGGGGAGGCCGGTGGCGCCCACTCACACTGGATATACCAGGCCCTCCAGATGGCGTTGTTGAGGCGGATCTTGTCTCTGCAGAGCAGCTTGAGGCCTTTGAAATTCTTCCACTTGGGTGAGACCAGCTTGCCACTGTCAGGGGGAGAGGGCTGGGTCAGGACAGGGGTGGAGAAAGTTGGAGATGCTAGAGGGGGTGCTCCACATTCTTCTCATGCACTAGGTGTTCAGCTATGGCTGGAATTTGAGGGACCCCTCAAATCTGGCCCCTTAATCTAACCTGCCTAAAATTCCTCCCCTGAGAGTCAGATCTTTAAAATACCCTCCCAGACCCCCACGGGGGGGCCTTTGTGTTCTCTGGAGAGACCTGCTTGTTAATCTACCACCAGAACTGAAGGAAGGCTGAAACCTGTTTATCAGCTCTGTCCTGGGAACAACAATGTCCAGTGGCCTCACAGGCGTGTCCTGTGGGCTGGCCGGGGGAGAGTCCTCACACCCATTCCTTACTCAAGAAGAGTAAGAAATGACCTTCCTCAGGGTCAGGAAGGGAAAGAGACATGCCCAGGGTCACGCGGCAGGGACTCACCCAGGCCCCCTCAGGCTCAGGAGAGGCACAGGGGATGGCTGGGGAGGGTCTGCCTGGGTGGAGAGGGAGCCTCTTGACAGGTGGTGGCCTCAGAGCCCTGTTGGTGTCTGCCCCGTCCAGAATCCCCGTATGGTGATCCGGACTGAGCTGGAAGATGTGCCCTTCTCAGGGACATGCCGAAGACAGTGAGCCGTCAGGGCCCAAAGGCAGGCAGCTAGGATGGGGAGTGGGAGGCAGTGGGAAGCGAGCAGCCTACCCTAATCCTAGCGGTCCACCAAATCCATGGGATGCAGAGGCTCTACACAGAGTCCTGCTAGGCACAGGACAAGTCTGCCACCTCCAGGAAGCTGACCCAGGAGGCCAAGACATTCAGGGTCTTAGACCCCTGCTGGTCTCTCCTTCCCTCCCTCCTCACCAGCCACAAGCCAGGGTTGTGTGCAAGTCCCCTCTGGCCCACCTACCCTTGCTCAGATGGCAAGGCTGAGGCCCCAAGACTTAAGTCTTTTAGAAAGCCAAGCCTGCTCGCTCCAGAGGTCTCTACCTCATCCTGGGGGTGAGAGGTGGGTGCGTGGCTGTCTGACTCCTCAGCCCCTCTCCCCGCAGCCCCTTGGGTGCATCAGCCATTGGCCCCCTCTCCTCTCTGGTCTCTAAGTTCCTCTGTTTGCTTTGGGGTGGGGTGGGGGACTGCCACCCAGGGGACAACAGGCCTCATTACCCAAATAGGGTACACAGCCCAGTGCCCTGGCCCACTGGCTGGTCCCTTCGCTCCTGCAGTTAGATAAACACCATCTGTCTAGTAGGGAGACATGGGGTGGGGGTAGGGGAAATTCTGATACCTCCTGGGCTAGCTTCTTTTGGGTAGGGAGCGGGGGAGACTCCTGAGTTTGTGGCCCCTGCCTGTATCCCAGCAACTTTCCAGCCCATTCTGACCACCTGGTGTCCCACCCCCAACCCGCCTGCCTTCCTTCTCCCATTTTCCTCCTGAGGTTATGACAGTATGGCCCAGGCAGGTCTGGGGGAGATAAGAAGGTGACAATATCCAAGCCCAGGAGGAAAGGATTTGGGACTGTGAGGGGAGGGACCCAGCCTGGAGCCAAAAGCCTAGGGCCAGGGTTCAAGAACTTCTTACGACCAATAGAAAAAATCTGAGATGCTTGGGGATGGGGTGGGGAAAACCTTAGAAGCCCTAATTCAGCTCCCCACCCCCCACCTTGTAGGAATTCCCTTTAGAGCACCCCTGACAGGGTGCTACTTGTGCCCTCACATCCCTGAGGCCACTCTTTCTAGCCAGCTCTGACCACGAACAAATGCTTTCTTGAAGCCTCCAGAACCTGCCCCCCAGGGCTTCCACCCACGATACCATGCAACATATCCTCCTAGAAAAGTCCCCCCTCTGCCCACACTGCCCTGCAGAGGGTGAGAGCGGCCGGGCCTCTGCGCGCTGTCCTCTGGGTCAGGCTGTCCCAGTCCTCCCACCACCTTCTGGCCCCTTCCTGTGCTGTTCCCTTTCTATCCAGTCACTCCCTTGGGACACTCAGTTCCAAAATCCTCTCCCTTCCAGAGAACCCCTATAATTACAAGTCTTTGAGAGCTAAAACACTTTCCCAGTATGAGCCTCAGGTTTTTCCCCCTGCCAAATGGGGAAGCCCACAGGCTGCTCTGGTACTGACACTCCCCTCCGCCCCCCAGCCCTGGTGCTTAGGCTGACACTCAGGGCAGGCCAGAGATTTAATATTCTGGGTGTTCGGGGAGAAAACACAGCCCTGTCCACCCCAGCTGTCCCTGACTAGGGTTACATTAGTCTCCAGTTAGCCTCTTAGGGGAGCAGTTCTTGGGATGTGCTCTGTCCCCTACCTTGCCACCTCCCCAGAAACTTCCCTTTGGGTCACCCATGGTCTGGGGTGGAAGTGAGCCAGCCCAATGCAGCGGTGTGCAGTATAGAGCAGGAAGCCAAAGCCCGGAGTGGGTGGGACATGGGAGACCCTTAAGAGCAGGGGTGCCCGCATCCTGCGTACCAGGACCTTAGATGCCCTGTCCCAGGCAGTCTCGTGACATCCAGGGTGGGGAGGGGAGAAGGGACGGGAATTTGAACTTTCCACATCGGTCCGGAGCCCTGGACGATCAGGTTGCAACATGACCCGGGCTCGGGGCCAGAGCATGTGGGCCAAGGTTACTCTGCCTCCAGCCAATGGGGTCGCAGCTCGGCGGCCGCGGTTGGGGATAGCTACACTCCCCCGCAATCCCCACCCCAGCTCCCGCTCGCCTTCAGGCGGCAGGTGCCAGTCTCTATCAAGCGGTTCTCAGAAGTGGAGGAGGCGCTGCGGAAGAAGAGGAATATTTACACAGAGAAAAGATCAAGGCCGGCCGATCCCCCTTTCTCCCCTACAGTTTTCGGTTGATAATTTATCCGGGCCCCTCCGCTCCGGAGAACTTTGCTCCAGGGCACTGGGCCAGGACCCGGGTTGGCGCCCTCCCCTGGGACGCAGGCGAGGAGCGGAAGCCGGGCGCGGCCCGCACGCTCCGCGACGCGCTAACCGGGGGTCCCAGGCTGCGTCGGGCGCTCAGCCTCGCGCGGCGACACTGGTGGGGGAGCCCCCGGCCTCCCGCGCACCCGCGCCGCGCGGCCAGCAGCACCCCCTGCCGGGCCGTGGCCCAGACCCCAGCGAGCTGCGCCGCTCCTGCCAGCCCGGGACACCCTCCTCCAACCACCCTTGACCTGTTCGCGTCCCGGCGCTTGGGAGGAGGTGGAATGGGACAAGCAAAGGCGCGGGGAATATTGCAAGGTGCAGAAGTAGGGTGCGTCTGGGCCGGGCTGCCGGGGAGAGAACCAAGGGCTGCAGGCGGTCAGGAGGAGTGGTCCCGGGGTCAGTGGAGAGTGGGGATGGGCGGGCATGGCCTAGGGTCCTGGGAACGCAAGGGACGCCTGGCATTTGGGGGGTGGGCCGAGGAGCAGGGACCAGAGCCAGGTGCCCGATGTGGTCCTAGGGAGGTCGAGGTGGAGGGGAGGCGGTCGCCCAGGGATGAAGCGATGGTGGTGAGGAACAGGAATCGGAAGGTTCGCAGGTTCGTCAGGGGCCAGTGGGCTGCGCCGGGGTCAGAGGACGCCAGGGGGTGGGGGCGGGAGGAGTCCAGGCTGTGGCTGGAATCCCGGGAGCAGAAGGACCGGGAGGGTGTTTGGAGCCCCAGCGCGTAGTCCCGCCACGCAGAGCCGAGGCCGTCGGCCCGGAGCCGCCCTCACCTGTAGGCCAGGCTCAAGCACTCGAAGAGGCGAGTTAGTGTGGGGTCGATGCTGCGCGGCCCGAAGTCGGAGTGCCCTACGGGCCCCTCCTGGTCGCGCCGCCGGGTCAGCGAGTCGCTGTGCGGCGACGAAACCATGAAGTGACCGCTGTGGATGACCTGCGAGCGGAGCAGCCCGCTTGTGCTGCGCCGGAGACTCGGGTCCTCCGAGTCTGTGTCCGAGTCCGAGTCCGGGCTAGGGACGACCCGCGGGACCTGCAAGCCCGCGGCCAGCCCTGCCAGCGCCCCAGCCATGGCTATCGCCGTCGCCGCCGCCGCCTCGCCTGGGCTCCGCCGCGAGGCCGGGGCAGCTCGCGGGCGCTCGGCCTTATTAACATAGCCCCGCCCCCGTCGCGATAGGCCGCTAGGGTGGGCGGGGCCTCGGTACCGCGAGCGGAGGGGCGGGGCTTATATTAGCATAATCAATACGCCAGGTGTGAGCCCTGTTCCCCGGGGGGATCCGGCGGGTCTGTAGCTACCCGTCCTCCCGCCTTTCCTCCTGTTGTGACCTCTTGGAGTCAATCGTTCCTACTTCGCCCAAAAGGGGTCTCAAGAAGGGTAGACTATCACACCTGAAACTGAGAGCGCCTCAGTGCCCGAAGCCCAGTGAGGTTCGTGTTTCTAGGGGTGCCCTCCCGGGAGGCCCGAGATCACCCATCTCCCCTCACCTAACTACTGCGCCCCTCCGCTCCCTGATCTCAGCCCCGGTCAGTGCTCCGCTCAGTTGGAAGCTCCCACTTCTCAGGGGCCTTGTGTGGTGGACACGAGGCAATGTCCCTAAAGGGCCCAGCCCCCAGGCAGTTGTTGGTACCCCTAGTGACACTGCGATCGTCACTACAGCTGCACAGTCAGGCCCAAGGGGGCTACATGAGTGTGAATCCTGCGAGGCCCTCCGGGACCGTCGCCGGTGGTAATGGTGGCTGGCTGGCAAGGTGGAGCCCGCGCCACCCTCCCGCTGACAGCCCTCAGGCAAGCTTCTGCCCAGGAGCTCTGGACCCCCCTCTCACTGTCCCTGAGATCCAGCTTCTGTTCCTGCTTCTGAAAAATAGAAACCAGGCTGAGGCATTCACATCTGTCACCTCGCTGGAGTGCTTAACCATCCTTAAAGGTGGGATTCAGAGGCACACAGGAGCAAAAACATGCCCAAGTATCTCAGAGGGACAGGAGCAAAGCCTGGTCTAGAAGATTCCCAAACTTCCCTCCAGGGCTGTCCCTAGTGGGTGTGGGGTGGGTGGGGACAGGGAAGGGCTGGAGGCAAACATTAACCTCCCTTGGCTTTCTGATGGTGTGTCCTACTGGTGGTCACATGAGGGAAAGAGGAGGTGGTCAGTGGGGTGCTGCAGCCTTGGAAAAGCTTAACATATAGCACTTTCTTCCAGCTCGTGCTAGGGTCACACAGTCCTCAGGATCACAACACAGTGCCCGAGGACTCCCAGCAGCTGGCAAGCGAGTGAAGTGATTGGTAGAGGCTGCTCACAGGCTGGCCCTTTCTCCCACCTCGTTTGGTACCCGGTGTCCCTGCCAGTCACCTCACATTCCTGGGAGCCCTGCTATTCTCCAGTCCTCCCTGATGCTCTCTGCAGGAAGTGCCTTCTCCCTGTGCCCCCCTGCCAGATTGCAGGGGTGGAGGTGGGAGTTCCAATGCCCACCCCAGTCTGCCTCCTCTGGACGGGCTCTGCCCCACTTCAGTGCACCATCCCCAAGTGGACCTTTTGAGATCCTTGGCACAGACTGACAGGATCGTTACTCACCTCTATGTGCCTCTCTGGCTTCTCCCCCTACGCTTCTGTGGGCCTCTGAGGCAAGACTGTTCCCTAGAGTCTCTGAACCCCCACAGCGTGCACCCACAGACCTGGGGAATGCTTGGAGAAAGGGGCATGATGCTAGGAGGGGCTGGTGGGCTGCTGTAGGGGTGTGGTGGTAAGCAGGGGCTCCCCCCATCTCCCTTGGGGCCTCCTAGCTCCGGGGGCCCTGGCTCAGGTGGTGACCTGAATTGATCCTTGCTCTGCTACAAATTCTATGAATAACTCTGGGTAATGTCTTACTGGGGATCTGTCTCTCCATCTGTAAAATGAGGAGACTGAATTCAGTGATTTCTTAGGGTCCTGCAGGCTTGGTTCCAAATCTCTGCTATCAGCACCCCCAGATCACTTCACCATGCTCTCCCCTCGGCCACCTGTCCCCAGGAGAAAATCTCAGATTGCCTCCTGCAGTTCCAGAGACTGTCCCCTGGAACTAGGTCTGAGTAGGGTGGGAGGATTACGAGTGAATTCTTTCCCTCACTCCACACCATCAGTTTCCCCTCAGCAGGCATCTGCACCTCGTTTCTGCCCAGGGCCTGATAACACCTTTGGAGGTGTAAGCACCGAAAAGACAAGCCCTGCCTGTGTAATTTCAAACAACACTAAAGAGTACAAGAAATGTAAGGATGTCCACGAATTCTGATCTCTCCCATGATGACATGACACAGCCAGCTGAGGGTGCCC